TGCTTTTGTCTCCAGTAGGTTAGACTACTGCAATGGCCTGCTCACAGGTCTGTCCAAACAGGCTGTAAAACAGCTGCAGTACATTCAAAATGCAGCAGCTCGAGTCCTGACTGGAACCAGGAAGTACGACCTGACTGGAACCAGGAAGTACGACCACATTAGTCCAGTTCTTAAGTCTCTGCACTGGCTTCCTGTGGCTCAGAGAATTGATTTTAAAGCAGCTCTACTTGTGTACAAGTCTCTCCATGGCTTTGCACCGCAGTACATTCGAGAAATGTTAGCGCCATATGAGCCGGCTAGGACGCTGAGGAGCACAGGGACTGGCCCCCTGCCGGTGCCTAGGGTCAGGACTGGACATGGGGAGCCAGTGTTTTCAAATGTATGTAGCCAGAATTTGGAACAGTCTCCCTGAGCTTGTGAGACAGGCCTCGACCCTGGCAATGTTAAGTCCAGGCTGAAAACTGTCTTGTTCATAACTTTTAACTTTTTATTACAATATTTTTTATATGCATAAATAATATTAAAAAAAAAAAAAAAAAAAAAAAAAATATTCATGATCCAGAATCAACTATTTAGATGAGCAATTGAGCAAATCAAAGCTGAAAACACTAATCTGGTATGCATGGGATAGACTTTAAGACTGAGGTGTTCACCATGCAGGTACTCTCAACATGATAGGACCATGGACACTCTTAGGGTTGAGGACACGAGAGTGGGTGAGTATGATAAAGCATACTCACAATTATAGATGGATTTTCTTATGTGGGCCTGGTGAACAGGTTAGGCCAGGGGTTATGCAAAACCAACAACTGTCTATGGTAAGGAGAAAACTCTTTGTGTCAATTCCTCACTTTTTGATTTTCAGACATTTTACCCGGAAAACAAATGAGAGAAGCAAATTCAACCTACAAAGGGGACAGGGATAAAAATAAGACCAAAAAGGGGAATTGGATAAACTGGGAGCATGTGCAAAAAAGCGACAATACCTATTTGGGGTGCAATTGTGTTGGAGCCAAAGGAGAACATCATGGCATCCAGGTACCTCTTTATAGCATTAGTAAACAAAGGGAAAAAAGTGGGAGCAGAAAATTCAGAGTATGATGGTACATGAACAAATGCTCATGAGAGATAAATCATGGGGACAATGTGGCATATACTGGATTAGATGGACCCAACACCAACTACAGAGTTTGCAAGAAACCATTCTAAAATAATTTCCATGACAAAGGGGATTATTGCAGGAAGTGTACCATGTCTTACAATTACAGTGGACTTGTAGAGGTATGAGTCATTGGACCCAAGAGGACAGGATCAGGGAAGAAACCTCTATGGTTTTGTGGGGTTTTCTGTATGGGCATATTGTGCGGAGAAGACCCTTGGGCATTATTATATATGTGAAGATCCAGTCAGTTGTCACAAGAGAAGGGGCTCGTAGGACATGTAGGTAACACAAATCTAGTAATAGTATATAATGCAACTCTTTCCACACAGATGATGTATTCAGAATGAGACAGGAATAACAGCTACAAAAAATGATTGGCTATTTATGATTGAGCAAGCTTGCAAAAGCTACAAAACTAAGTACAATGTATTGCTTGTATGGGGACCAAGGGCTATGTTACATGCCCGCCCCCAACCCCCCCCCCCCCCCCCCCCCAAAAAAAAAAAAAACTACGACTGTAGTAGATAGGGACAATCATACATGTTTAGTTAGAGATTATGATGAGAGATAACCTATACCCTAACTGTTCACTTTATGAGTAATATATCGGTACGGCCACAATGCGAACCACAATTTTTAATTCACAAGTAAGAGGTGATAACCTGCGTCATCAGGAAGGTCCTTAGTGGAGAAAAAAGGGGAAGTAGGACCATGTAAATAGATCATTATGAGTAGGTATGAGGATTTCACAGAAAATTAATGGACACAGTTGACCAGTAGGCAGAGCAAGATGTGTGGTGGTATTGTTGGTGCTAAGTCTTTAAGGGGATATTCTACACCTCCTGTGGGATGGCTTGTGTGTGTTGATCTCATTACTTATACCAATTTGAAATATCTCCAGGGGTTCTAGAGAAGCGAGATTTTGAAACAAATCAGTAGTGTAAAAACCAGATCAAGAAGGGCACTGGCTAGACCAGAGGGGGAAGTCAGGTTTATAACTGATGCAATAGTTTATTCCTAGGTGGAATTCCAAATGATTACAAATTGGTTGATGAAATTGCATCAGGTTTTGAAAAACATCCCAATAAATTTCCGCAATTTTTCAATAACCCAATAAGAACGTCGATCGGAGTCAAACTACTTACATTACAACCATACAGAGGCTAAGCAAATTATACATATGATGGATTTGAGGCAATTCATGAACCAATTATCAGCACTCCTTAATGACCTTCAGAAACAGACTTGCTGTTGACATGATTTAGCCAAAGGAAGCGGAGGCTGTTTCATTGATTGGCCCTAGTGCTGTACGTTTATCCCCAAATTATACTGCCCCCTACTGGAAAATACAAGGGCCCTTCAGGGATAAAGGCACTATCCCATGAAATGAAGGCACATTCAGGAGTAGACCAAATCAATGTGGGAGGGTGGGTTGGATGTGTTTGCAGATCAAGGCACTGTTAGCATCAACTCTGCTATCGGTGGCGTATTTGCAGCAATCCTGACGCTAGTGGATGCTGTTGTATTCCGTGCATTACGAGCCTATGTAACAGAGTGATAACAGCCGCTGGGGAAGGTAGGTGGCCAGAAAGACAACTGACTATAACCCAGGACTACGAGTGGGGAACCAGAAGAATTGATGACCGAGCCTAAAGCCATAAAGGACAATCATCAGAAGAACGGGGTGAGTATGGCCTGTGATAATTGTCAAAAGTATCACAGAAGGAGTTGTGAGTCTGCTTTATGATATATCAAAATATTTTAATCAAAAATGTATACCTGCCTTGCATGTAATTAACGCACATAACCTTGCTAAATTTGTAAGGGGACTTGGGAAAATCGGGGGATGCGATAAAAAATTTAAAAATTAACATTAAATTAAAAATTACATAATTCAAAATTGATGCACGTCCAAAATGATTCTTTCTCAGCTCTTGCAACTATTGTTTTTGTTACACAGGGACTAGACACGCAGCACACCCACATTAGAAAGTTTTATAGGATCACTTCAATGTATGTAGTGAGGGTGGTTGGATGTCAGTCACGCCAGAGGCCTTTGGGGGGGTCTGATGTAAGGGCTGAGTCGGAAGGACCACCTCATTTTTCATAATGTCACATGGGGTGGTTTTGGAGTTCACAGATCGTCGATGATGATGGGATTAGTCTGAGTATAGGATGTAAGGTGCTGGATCAACTGATGAAGATGGGCCATCTGAGCGAGAGTGATGGATGTCCGAAGAGTTCCTCTCGGCAACAGGGGGACTGTTGGAATATTAATCTTGCACCAGTTAAAACTAAAAACAGTTTAGGTATTGTTTCTATTGCCAAATTTAGCACACTTGTTTGTGTAATTCTCAAGAGAGTGATTATGGTTGTCTGAAATGGAGGGGGGACAAGGGGAGAGTGGCAGTGAGTTCAGGTTAGTCTGAAATGAGGAGGGGGACAGAGGAGACAAGTGGTGGTTATCAGAGCTGGTGCAATCGTTGGCAAGCTGGCCAGAAGGAGTCGTGGAGTCCATACAGTGGTGTTGTCATTGACTTGGATGTAAGTAAAGTATAAATGTATGTGCGGAGTGGTCACGAGAGACTTTTTGCTTTTTCGTCTGACTAAGGAGCAGTGAGACGTCCCCGGGGGCCACTCTTATCTGAACGCGAAGCGAGATCTGTTCGCGGTCCGTTTTCTTGTAATATTGCTTGCAAAAATCTTCAATTTACACTTTTTGGAAATCAGGTTGGTTCCTGTCATTTCGATTACTGTCTTTAACATTGGTTTTTGTCTCTTGGTTGAACTAAAAAGGACCTGCAGAACGAAGGGGCCTGTGTTTGGCGGCCTCTCTGCAGTTCTTGGGGCGGGGATTCTGACAAATTACTGCAAGACAGTGCACTTTACGCACGTTCATTACTGTTGCAGGGCTTGAATTGAGTCTTTGTTGCTCGAATCCTTTCCACATTTATCCACACACGTCCATTAATCCACTGGATGGGGTGGACCTCTGTTTTCTTACTTTGTACTCTGCAGCTTCCATTGTTGCCGATGGCTTAACTCGCGTTACTTTAAAAAAAGAGAAAAACTCCCACGGGACTCCACGTAAAAATTACCGAACGTTTATTCCACACTCTTTTACACGGAAATTACTTTGCGTGTTGTCTCTTAATAAAATAAATGCGGTCCTCTCAGTAAGAAAACCGTTTGGCTCCTTATCTCCTGAGCTGCCAAAGTTAACGTGCCTCTCTCTAATTACGCTCGCTCTCTTCTCGCTCGCTCCTCTGTAAACAAACCAAAACCTATCTCTCTTATAGCGACGGTAAACGTAAATGTTATATGTAAAAACAAAAATTGAACCTACTTCAACAAGGGTATTTTCAACATGAAATGGTTGTTCCTAAATTAACATAAATAATACTAATTAAGCTAATAAATTACGTGCTATTTATAATTTATAACAATAATAAACAATCAATTAGTCACAATCTAATATACACTATGCAACATGCAAATATCTAACTATATATCAACGCTTACCTTGGCTCAAACTTCCTTCAGCTAAACGCAGACAAAAACTGAAAATTTTGTCTTTGGTCCCCAGAACAAAGGGAGCGTAATCTGTCACCTCCAGTCTCTCTCCCTCAACCTCAAACAAGGTCAGAATCTAGGGGTAATACAGGACAAATGAAACAGGACCATGAACCAGGTCTAAACCAGGACTGAACCAGGACTGAACCAGGACTGGACCAGGTCTAAACCAGGACGGAACCAGGGTCTACCCTAGGTCTAAAAACCAGGTCTAAAACCAGGACTAAACCAGACTAAACCAGGACTAAACCAGGATCAGTTGTACTCACCATCTGTCCTGCTTGGTCCGTTTGTTTTTCTGGGCCTTTGTGGAGGTCGGCTCTAGCTCCTCTTCATCAGACACTTCAGCACACGCTAAGAACACACAGAAGGGTCAGCAAGGACTAAACCAGGACTGAACCAGGACTAAACCAGGACTAAAACCAGGTCTGAACCAGGTCCTGAACCAGGGACTGAACCAGGACTAAACCAGGACTAAACCAGGTCTGAACCAGGACTGAACCAGGTCTGAACCAGGTCTAAACCAGGACTGAACCAGGTCTAAACCAGGTCTACCCTAGGTCTAAACCAGGTCTACCCTAGGTCTAAACCAGGACTAAACCAGGACTAAACCAGGACTAAACCAGGTCTGAACCAGGTCTAAAACAGGACTGAACCAGGACTAAACCAGGACTAAACCAGGATCAGTTGTACTCACCATCTGTCCTCTTGGTCCGTTTGTTTTTCTGGGCCTTTGTGAAGGTCGGCTCTAGCTCCTCTTCATCAGACACTTCAGCACACGCTAAGAACACACAGAAGGGTCAGCAAGGACTGAACCAGGTCTGAACTAGGACTAAACCAAGACTAAACCAGGACTAAACCAGGGTCTGAACCAGGTCTAAAAACAGGACTGAACCAGGACTAAACCAGGACTGCAGTCATGTGTCTCAGGTGTTAGACTCACCATCAGAAAGCTTGTCCATGGGACCATCAGCCTCAGCCTCCAAGTCACTGTTCTGAAGCTCTGTTTGGTCTGTGAACATATGAAAGATAATCATCATCATGAAATCATGCCTTTGATCATATTTATGTAGAGTACAAACCACAGACAGCTGCATCCAGCGTCTGGAGGGTCTTTCCCTTTAGGGCCTCTGCCCCACCTTCCATTGCAAACAACAGCTTCCCAACTTTAGCCACTTGAAAGGTTTTATCAGTCTGTCTGTAGTAGTTGCAGTGGACTCTGATGTCGTGCCCCCTGAACTTTGCAACCTGCTCCAGCTCTTGGTTCGAGAGGTCCAGAAGTTGACACAATGTTGCCACGTGTTTCCTTAATTTAGTCGACCTGAGCATTGGATGGATGAGATGTTGGTCTTGCAAGATGGCGCCGGTGTGTCTGGTACGCCGCTTGTCTCTGCTGAGTTTTATCTATTTTATTACTGTTTTAACGTTTATTCCAAGGACCATCAACTCACTTCTGGTGTATGAACGTCAGGAGTTGTTAAAAATAAAAGAAACAGTGCAATCATGTGCACTTTACAGTGCTAAAGAGTCGGGTTCCTTTTACCTCTGCGACCTGCCTGACTACCTCCTCCGGGTAAATGCGCCGCTGCCCAGGAAGCGTAAACGCCGAGGAGTACGATCTGGCCGCCTGGTGCAGGTGAAAGCTTGGCTGGCACGGTATCCTGGCATGGCGTGGTCCTCCTCACTTCCACGGGACTACAGAGGCTGTCTCCACCGCTATCTCTCCCGGCGCGCGCTTGGACCGGCACGGACTTGGTTGGTGCCTATTATCGGACAGCGGGAGGATCCCTGCGCACTGCGTCCTCTCCGCTCTTCTCACCGGGGCTCGGCGGTGTGTCCCTGCGCAATCTCTAGCCGCTGAGGCGGGCCTCGCGTGTGTCCACAACGGCGTCCATGAGCTGCGCCACTCGTGAATGCGAGGTCCGTGGTGAACAAGACATTCATCCTCCGGGACTTTTTCACATCGCGCTCTCTGGATGTACTGTTCTTGACAGAAACCTGGATCCGCACTGGTGAGTCTGCTGCATTCTCTGAGCTATCCTCCAGACTGTACTTTTATTAGTTCACCGAGAGCCACTTTAACTCATTTGAACTCAGCTGTTTCGAGCTGCGACAGACTGATCCTGTACTTTGCGCCGTTATCTACAGACCACCAAAACACAGCAAAGATTTTATAAAAGACTTTACTGAGTTCGTTTCTTTTAGTCTGGTGCGCTATGACAGGATTTTAATTGTCGGAGATTTTAATATACACGTTTGTTGTCCGTCTAAGCCCATGGCCAGAGACTTTTTGGACTTGATTGAAGCTTTTAATTTGACACAGCATGTTACTGTCCCCACACAGGTTCACGGTCATATTTTAGACCTTGTACTGTCTTATGGTTTTACTGTTGACAAACTTGTTGTTGGTAATGCTGTGTTTTCTGATCACAGTCCTGTTATGTTCAGTTTAAGTCTGTACCCTGACGTAAAGCCACCTGCTGTGCGTCATGGGCGTGTTATTAAGTCTGACACTGCAGCCGCCTTTTCTCCTCTGTTCACTGTGTCACCGCAGAGTTTTTCCCACTCTGTTGTATCCCCAGACACTGAACAATTAATGTGCTCTTTTATGTCCACATGCTCTAGGATCCTGGACAGTATAGCGCCGGTTAGAGCTATTTGTCCAAAACAAAAACAGGAGCCTTGGCTCAATGACACCACGCGGGCAGCTCGGCGTGAGTGGCGGAGGGCGGAGCGTAGGTGGAATAAGGATCACTTGGAGGTTTCTTACCAAATTCTTATAGAAAAGTGCCGGGACTATCAAAGTGTGGTTAAAGCTGAGAAAACAAATTATCTTTCAGACTTGATCTTTTTAAAACTATTAGTTCTGTTTTTAATCCGAATCCAGCCACTTCACTGGAGATAACTAATGAAACGTGTGAACGATTTTGTCTCCTTTTTTAATGACAAGGTTGCTTCTATTCGAGCCAATCTAACTCCTTCATCATTGAGTTTTAACATGGCTACTCGATGTTCTGCCGTTTTTAGTCAGTTTGTGTCAGTGTCCATGTCTGTGTTGACTGAGATGGTGAGCAAACTCAAACCTTCGTCCTGTCCCACGGACCCAGTCCCTCCTCGCTTTTTTAAAGAGGTTTGGGGCACTATTGGCTCTTCTGTGAGGGACATCATCAACAGCAGCTTGCTAACTGGCAATGTGCCTTCCTTTTGTAAAAGCGCTGTTGTTGAGCCTTTGATAAAAAAAGCAGGTCTTGATCCCATGGTTTTATCAAATTATCGCCCCATTTCAAAACTACCCTTTGTTTCAAAAATATTGGAGAAATGTGTTTTGGCACAACTGCAACCTTTTTTAAATGAAAACAGCACTTTAGACCCATTTCAGTCTGGATATAAAGCTTTGCACAGTACTGAATCTGCACTTTTAAAGGTTTTTAATGATTTGCTTTTATTGACTGATTCTGGAGGCTCCACCATTTTAGTGCTTTTAGATCTTACTGCTGCTTTTGACACTGTTGACCACACAATTCTTTTAGACCGCCGGAGAGATTGTGTGGGCGTCAGGGGGACTGCTTTGGAGTGGTTCAGGTCCTACCTGTCGGAGAGGTCTTTCTCAGTCAGGCTGGGGGATGCCACATCTTCTTCTGCCTCACTTTATTGTGGTGTCCCTCAAGGATCTATCTTGGGACCTATCCTTTTTGCACTCTATCTCCTCCCACTTGGGGAGATTTTTAACAGACACGGAGTGTCCTATCACTTTTATGCAGATGACTGCCAAATTTATATGCCAATTTCGAGAGGCCATGCCCCCCTGACGCCCCTGCTCAACTGTCTATGTGACGTCAAGGCTTGGTTAGCCCAGAATTTTTTAGTAATGAATGAGGGAAAAACGGAAATTTTAACATTTGGACCGGCCCTTACTGACTTGGGACCACTAGGAAATTATGTGCGTTCCAAAGTCACCAGCCTTGGCGTGACTATAGACAGTGATTTTAAATTTGACAAACAAGTGAATGGCGTTTTAAAATCGTGTTTTTATCATCTTCGGCTTTTATCAAAAGTGAAGCCATTCTTATCTTTTAACTTGTTAGAACAGGTTGTGCATGCTTTTATTTCCAGTCGTCTGGACTACTGCAACGCACTTTATGCTGGTGTCAATCAGAAAACCCTCTCCCGGTTGCAGTTGGTCCAGAACGCAGCAGCACGACTTTTAACGGGGGCCAGAAAGCGCGAACACATCACCCCTGTACTCGCGTCTTTGCACTGGCTCCCTGTTCATTTTAGAATTTATTTTAAAATTTTACTGTTTGTTTTTAAATCTTTGCATGGACAGGCCCCTGATTACATCTCGGACCTCATCCAAATTTACACTCCTGCGCGCGCCCTGAGGTCCGAGAGCCAGCTCCAGCTTGTGGTCCCTAACGCGAGACTTAAAACCCGGGGGGACAGAGCCTTTTCTGTGGTCGGCCCTAAGCTCTGGAACGCTCTTCCCCTCCATGTCCGGACGGCCCCCACAGTAGAGTGTTTTAAGTCTCGTCTTAAGACCCACTTTTACTCTTTGGCTTTTAACACTGTGTGAGTTGTGTGGTCCTCTGTGTTTTTATTTTTCTATTTATGGTTTTAATCTGTTTTATATATTTTTTTCTTTTATACTTGGTGAAGCTAAGGATAAGTTGTTATTTATTTTATACTTTTTTGTGCAGCACTTTGGAAACGTAACTGTTGTTTAAATGTGCTATATAAATAAAGTGGATTGGATTGGATTGGATTGTAGGGTTTTCAGCTCCACACACAAGGGAAAACTTTCTTAAACAGTCACAACCACGAATATGTGTGTTTGTTCCAATGTTTGCAAATAAAAAAGGATTGTCTTGTGGTATTCCAACTTTGTCCCTGAGCTCGATCATGAAGTCTATTGAAGCTTTAGGGCGCGCCAGAAACAGCACGGGGACTTTCCGCCCTCTTTTGCCTCTCGTAACCATCCGAGTGAGTCTGCGGCTCAACATTTTCTCTACAGGTGACAGTGTTTGACCTCTAGATGGAGCTATTGAGTTTTTACCTGCAGTTCCAGTTTCAGCCATGAGTGACGCCACAGAGCAAAATTACTTTTTACTTGCAGTACCAGCTTTGACCAGCGTGGCCGCTCAAGAGTAGATGTGTGTGAAATAAAAAAATAAAAAGAAAGGTGAAGTTCTTGATTTTCTATCATTTTGAGGAATTTCTGAGGGAAGCATTAGGGCACCATCAGGGACTCTATTGAAGCGTTTTGAGCAATCGCAAAGTGAGGACATGCCCAAATGTCCTCACTTTGTTTAATTGTCCTCACTCTGCTGGTCTAAAAACTCATGTCCTCACTTTGTGGGCTTTACAAGAACAAACGCGCGCACACACACTCTCTGTCACTCATACACACGCACAAGTACACCCACACTACACATGAGCGCAAGTTTGGTTTCATCATAACCATTTCTTTAAAAGGCGTGAGAACATATACAAATTCGTGCTTGCTTTCAGCTCTGTGGGCAACATGTTCCTCTGATGAATGGTCACACGGGAAAAAGCAAAGTTTCCAAAATCTGTCCTGCATTTGAGGATCCTGCACTCGGTAGATCTAGAGGCCTGTGTTGTTGAGTTGGAGCTCAAAGAGATGAACTCTTTCAGTGGAGGAGCAGCGGAGTCATGAAAAAAGGTTGAAGGAGATACCACTCACTCAACTTACCTCGGAGAAATGCTTTTTACGATTGTCTGCGTAAGTGAAAGGATTGTGATAGTGATGGCAATATGAAGCCCCATGAAGCCTTGAGGGATAGCAGCCTATTACTCGGCCCATGAGTCGAAGGCTCAAGGTGAATCATGCTCCACTACGCCATCATGTGGACAAAGAAATACATAACACTCTTAAGTGCTTACAATGAATGGTGAGATCTAATGTTAAAATGTATATTTACAATCTATGGTCTAACGTGTTGTGTTTGAAAAGATGCTTCATGAACTATGAACTATTTGAGTCTTTCAGTCAATTGTGTTGATACAACAAACACATCCAAAGTAATACAGTTCTACAGAAAGTGATTAATGGAGGAAAAACTACCAAGAGGTGGATTAATTAAACACAACAAACCATTTATTCCCAATAAATAAATACATTTACTTTGCAACACAAAATTTATTATGGGTAGACCAGGATTCGAACGCTATATCTTCTGCTTCGGAGTCCGTCATAGACCGACTGCGCCACACAGCTGTAGTGAAATGTATCATCCAGCGTATTATTACTAATAACTTGAAGCCCTGATATATGAGGTTTTACTAAAGTGAAAAGTTTTTAATTGTATTTCATATGAAGTAGTTTCTCTATACTTAGTACAGGACTGCTCCACATCACGCACACACACGTACGCACACAGAGGCAGACGGGGACAGCCAATACAGTCTATGGTACAGCCGCGGATCACAAAGCACCTGTCAAAGCAATGCACTCTCCGAACTCTCTGAAGCACTATATGAACCGTCACGTGGTCCGGCCGCTACGCGAGGCTTCGAACGTCACCACACACGTGACCAATACACGCCTCGACCCACACTTCACAAGAAACGCCCCCAGATTACTCGGTCCACGCTTCGAAGACTCGGTCCGCTCAGCACATCACTAGATTGTGACATAGATTCTGAAGGAAATTAGACAGTCCAAATACTATGTCATAATTTTAGAGTGACATAAAGAGCAATTATCTGTGATCATTCAAATCGTTAAAGGCACTCCACAAATGTAAGAAACATTGTTGTGGTTCCTTGAAGCAGAAGAGACAACAGGAGAAAGCCTCTGAGCACTTATCCTGAAGACACTGCAAGCACATGATGTCCCATTTGAAGACTAGAGGGCAGTCTTACAATAATGGAGGAAATATGAAGAATAAATGGGTCCAAGGGCTTCACATTAACCCCAGGGCTTTATTTGTACTGTGTGGAGCGCATACTGTTAATCTGGTTGTCTCTGATACCGCAAAGAGCTCAATAGATTGGTTCATATATTGGCTACCTGCAGAAACGTTCTAAATTTTTTTCTGCCTCAACTCAAAGGCAGTCAGTTTTTGTTTAATTTTTTTAAACACACACATGGACACAACTTTGAAATCCTGAGCAGACACACGATGAGAAAGCCAACAGCGTGAAGGCTAAAACATATTCTTGCTTGGAATGTGTAGAATGGCCTTTGAGAGACAGAAAAGCAGATCCAGCCATAAAAACTGAAGCACAATCTCTGGCAGAAGATGTTGGGTCAAATCGGATTTCAAGTTGTACTGTGTGTGGTATGACATTCTTTTAAATGTCCAGAATGTACAATGTCCAATAAACGTATGCAATAGCAAAGTATGCAGCTGGATGTAGCTGTTGACCTGCTTAAAAAAAACACATTCCTCACCGTGTGAAGAAATGAATGTGGTCACTGCTCTGAAACAAAAAAGGCTCAGAACTGCCAAACAGCAGTTCTCTCATGAGGCCCATGCTGAACCTCTGACCAATGCATTGAAAAGAATGGAAGTTTCCTTTTTCAACAACAGCACACGGGTTCTTTCCCTTTGTGGTTCATCACTAAGGGAAAGAATCACAATGATGAGTGATGTTGCAAAAGGATTCAGCTTTCTCATCATCGTCCCTGTTCTGCAGCTGATGGGCTTGAAAAACAGGCCAAAGAATGGTGTGAAACACTAACATTTGGAGATCAAGCTGACTTGAACACTCAGGAATTGATTGTGGAAATGCAGTCTTTTCCACTGTGGCCAAAACAACTCTTGTGGATATTAGAAGTTCTTGTTTTTCTGTAGAAAAGGCCTTAAAGAGATTGCTGTCTCTGTGACTGTGGCATCTGCAGAGAGAAGCTTCTCGAGGCTTAAGTTAATAAACAATTACTTTACTCTACAATGTCACAAGAGTGTCTTAATGGCAATTATAAGAATTAATCGTGAAATGTTCAGACAAGTTTCATACAATGAAACTATTCATGCCTTTTTTTAAGCAAAAGTGATGGAAAAAAACTGGTGTTATTTTAGTATTTGACTGTAAGTGTGATTTTAAGCCTAAATTAGTTAGAATACTTTATTAACAGCTCAGCCTGAAAGACTCAAGCAGGTAATCAGAAAGTACCTGATACTGCATAAACAGTGCCGGTGGGGAGGAGGGAGTAGAAAGAAGGGAGTAGATCGAGGAGAGAGTAGAGTGGGGTAGGGCGAGGGGAAACGAGCTCAGTGATATCACCTGTGGCTCGTGGTGCAGTATAGACTTTTTACAGGTTTCCCGCGAGGATCCAGTGGGATGGAAAGTCTATTTACTATTGATCCTGTGATCGGGGCAGGAGGAAACAATATTTAGGACCAGTACTGTAACATGATGTGATGGCACCACTCCATGTGTATATATATATATATATATATATTAGGGATGTCAAACGGTTTTTTTTGTTTTTTGATTAATCGCATAGTAATGGTTAGTTATCTCACGATTAATCACATTTCTAACATTCTATTTCAAATCCACTCCAATTGAAGTTAAATGAGATTATCAAATTTAATGAAACATCGTCATTCATACCAAATGTACTTAAATCTGTTAGATTTGCTCACAACCTTTTACTTTTGGGCACAACCAAAATGAGCTGTTAATGAAAGGGAAAATGTACGTACCCCAGCTTTAATTTAGAGAGTTTAGTCGCATTTCAGGAGAAGACACGGACACTTCCTGAGTTCAGCTTCAGTATACTGTATGTGTATTTGTTGCTGGACAAGTTACGCAAAGACACGCACACAACATGCAGAGAATAGTTATCTGCGTGTACGCGGCGCCATTCAACGTGTTGTTGTTAGCGGCCACGGAGAATGTGGACTTCAGTTCATAAACAGCAAACAACAGCAAATGCCCCGTGGTCACACACATATTCTTTTAAAACTTGAATTCCCAAAGGGCCTACCTGCTCTGTTGCCATGTGTCCGCGGCATTCTGAGTGTTATTATGGGATACATGTTTTATTTTTTAACGCGATTATAGAAAAAATTAATCAACGTGCGTTAACGCGATAATTGTGACAGCCCTAGTATATATACCACGTGCCCATTCATATCAGCCCAGCACAAAAAGTACCACCCCCTCTCTCTCTTTAGCCGCCCCTCTGTAGTACACCTGGGAGGTCTCCCATCATAGTACTAACCAGGTCTTGTCCTGGTTAGTTTCAGAGGATGACAGGAACTAGTTTTCACCTGCAGGTGGCTCTGCTCAGTGTACCTGAAGTAGTGTGGTAAATTCATCGTAATATTATTGTATACACACATAAAATATTGTACTTGTATAAAAGCTGTAAATATGTGATGAAAAATTAGCACAGTTATATTTATACAATATACAATTTGAAAAGTACTTAATTCTGATGATCGAATCTTCAGCTTTAAAATGATGTTGAGGAGCGGGACGGGAGTGAGAGGAGAATACTGCCCCATGTCGGCCTCTATGGGGTAGAGGAGGTGCGAGGTTTGTGTAAATGACAAAATTATGCAAAATAAGCTCTGGGTAGAAAGTGAGGTAAGTGAGTGACCTTTGTTTATAGAGCAGAGACTGACTCACAAATGAGACACCTTAAAGCAGTACTAAGTAACTTATTTACCTTAATAAATCCTTTTCATATTCCCTCTGGGGGTAATACAAGTGTTAATGGGATGATTGGGAAGTTTTTCATCTCCCCCTGCTGTCTCTGGCCAGAAAACCACATTTGCAGATTTGCCTGCCTCCGCACCGGTGCCAGTCTCGCAGCTCTGTTCTCGTTCTCGCGGCACTACGAACTGCTTTACGACAGCCCAATACACATTCATCTTAGACTGTCACCAGCTCCGCGGCTGCTCACGGTTGTGTATAAATTCTATTTTCTCACATTTCTATCATGGCGGAGCCAGCAAAAAAAAGGCAAAGAAGACCTTTGTCCGAGGAGGGGAGGAAAAAGAAACAGGAATCGGATCGACACAGAGCGCAAAAACGAATCAACTTGGGGAATGCATTTGCTGGATGGCGAGAGCTCAAAGAAAAAGAAGGCTGTAAATTGGACGCAGACTTGGCGATCTTGTTGCTGGACTTGTAAGTACTTCATCTGAAAACGTCTATTAGTAACGTTTATTCGAAAAAGTAGGATTTTTTTCTGTGATATATTGCCCTTCAAATGTATCAACATCCGCGTGTAGCCATCTTGCTAGCAGATGCTAGCAAGATGGCTACCATCTAGCACCAAACGAATCTAGTAATGACTGTAGCTTTGACAATAGCCGCGTGAAACGTGTGAATGTACAAGTGATCTTGCACAACTTGCGGATAACTATAATTTACTGTGTAGTTGACCGGTTATGGCTCCGTGCGCACTCCGCGTTAGATGCGCGATCGTGGTCAGCGAGGAGAGGGCTGGACACAGGTGGACACTATGTATGTTTGCAGATCTGCATTTTGATAAAGGAGTGCTTCAGGCAAATATTTTATGCTTGCAAATCTGCTGACAGCAACTGAAGTTGTGAAAGTAGCTTTTCAACTGTCAGTACGTCACGACCAGGGCAAGGCTAGCTTGAAGCCTCATGTTCTGTGTCAAAAACTTACACATCGGTAATTCTTTCTCTATGAGAACTCTGACATTTCATTTTTTTTTCCTTCTAATAGTTATAATCGTTGGCAAACGTCAACACCGAGCAAAGCGCAAACAAGGCCACCGACTCTACCCGTCTCAAGCATTACAGAGGAATCTGATCAGGATAAGTATGTTCTCATAACTGTATCTAAAGCTTATTTTGACGTTTTTGTGATTTGTAACAATCTATCTTACTAGATGCGAAGCCAATCAAGATCTTGGTGTTGAACCTTTGCCTGATGAGAGTGAAGTGGTGGCACTGGAAACAAGGTTACTTTTGTTTGTTATTTGTGTATGTGTTGAATCTCATATTTCTTGTATAGCTATCTGCCTTTTGTTGTAGCATGCACTCCATGAGCATAGCAGAAGACCATCCTCCTGACTCTCCAGATGAGGGCGAAACTAGCCATTTCAAAGACACAGTGCAAGTGTTGAACATTTCCTTTTCCATTTATTCAGATTGCACTCCTTCAATAATTTTTTTTATTATATTTGTCTTGATGCAGCATTGAGATGGATGATTTTTGGGATGACCCTGGCAATTTAGATGTTGAAGATGACTCTGATGAGGACTTTGTCCCTTCACTATGTTTGCGGTACTTTAATTTTTATTTCCCCTCACTAACTACATAATTAACTATATATATATATAGATATAGATATTTATGTATTTATTTATTTAGATATATGATGATATGATAATAAATAAGTAATATCTTTCCCAGAACTGTTGGCACGAGAATAGAGGAGCTCAGAGAAATAACAGTGGATGAGGCTGTCCTTGATTTTGATACCCCAGATGATCCAGAAGAATTGGATCTTTTACCCGATGACGATCGTGTAGAGACTGAGGATGATCTAATTGGGAAAAGAGCAAATATTACATTTAATGACAACCTCCTTTCCCTTGCCACACATCTGAGACTGCCTGTCCAGAAGTGCAGCTATGTTGACAAACTAACTGGTCAGCCTTGTCCTGGTGTACAACCTTTTCAGGTTGTGTTAAAACCTCGTGGGACTGGAGTGGTTTTGAATTGGGTAAGATGTTGAACAATGCTATGTATTTCTATGAAATGACTAACTGTACTGCCCTAACGCTATTGTATTTTTTATTTTTTATTTACTACAGTTATGCCCCAATGGTCATCTGGTGTGGAGCTGGAATTCACAGCCAACACTAAAATTCAAAATGCAGGGTGGTGACTTCATGTTATCTGCAAATATACTACTTTCAGGCAACAACTACAGAAAGGTGGCTCTCCTCTTCAAGTTCATGGGAATGGGAATGGTTGCAGAGTCAACCTTTTTTAGGATTCAAGATGCATATTGCAAAGGACCTGTATTGAAATACTGGGAACAAACAAGAGCGGAAGTCATTGGACGCTTGCGTCGTGAAGATGGTGTTGTTCTCCTTGGTGAGTGCACTTTTATTTGCTCAAAGAATTAATAACATTATGGCTGTGATACAAATGTATCTAAGCTTTTAGCCTTTACACAGTATGCGCTTATCATTTTATCTTATTTTCTAGGTGATGGCATAATGGACTCTCCTGGTAATCTTTGTAATCTCAGCAGCTCAATTTGGATAGTTGTTTGCTGACCGTTTTTCTTATGCCTCAGGTCACTGTGCAAATTTTTGCACCTACACCACTATTGAGCAGTTGTCGAGAGACATTGTTTACATTGACTCCATAGACAAGAGGATGGTTGGTAGGAACTCTGTGATCATGGAGAAGGAGTGTTTTTGCCGCACCATGGAAGCTTTGCTACCTGACTTGCAGATAAAAGAGGTGGTCACTGATGCTCACCCACAGATTACCGCTTTGCTTCGTAAGGACCACATAACCTATTCGTAAATTGCATGCAGCTGGGATGTGATGACGCTACATTATGTGTTACAGACCCTGTGCGAGGCAAATATAAGGGAATTCAACATTCCCTGGACATTTGGCATGCTGCAAAAAGCCTCAGCAAGAAGCTGCGTCGAGTAAGTAGTAATTGTCTATGTACTGTTGACTAAAACATTTTATGATTATTATCATATTGTAGGAATTGATCATTGTTCATGCCTAAAACCAAACATGCTACTTGTGTACCATGAACAGGTGGGAACTAAGAAGAAGCAGAAGGAAATCATTGTGTGGACAAAGGACATAGTTAATCATTTCTGGTATTGGAGCAAACAAGCACAAACTGAGGAGCATTTCAAGGTACTTCGCATTTATAACATTTTTTGGGTGTGTATCTTGCTTTTTTTCTTGATTACTATTTACACTTTTTATTTGGGGGGGCAGATGATGTGGTCTGGAGTAATTCATCATGTTTGCAATAAACACACTTGGGCAACAGGAAGTTGTGAACATGAACCACTTGCTGAAGAGAGTCAGGATAAGCCTTGGATCAAGCCAGGTAGTTTTTTCCTTTTTCAATCAGGGCAAATTATGAAGTTATGTACTAACACATGCTGGCAGGTTCTGAAGCTCATCGGGTACTGACAGAAGTTGTGTTTGAGAAGAGATGGCTGACTCAAGTGAAGAAGTTTATAAACTTCAGGTAAGTACTTATTTCTTTAAAAACAGGGATAAGTTAGCACTAGCTCTCCAGTGTCTCATATGAGCACCCCCAAGGTTTCAACATAATCTACCTAAGCTTGATGAGTCATCAGTGTTATGGTTTTTGCAAAATTATATGCACCTAATGATTGAGGAACACACTGAACATACACATCTGCAAAACATTTGCCTTTTCTGATTCAAGGAAAAATGTGGGAGACCCCTGCACTACACAATATGTTTTGTATTTTTCAGCATTTTTTATTTTATTTTATTTTTCTCACACAGATCTACATCAGACTTGGAAAATTTCCAAAATCACATCTTGATGTATGCGGCAAAGCGCATGTCCTACACATTGGACATTTATAGAGCGCGGACTTGCCTTGCTGCCATAGACTACAATAAACACAACCGACGCAGGCCTGCACGCAACAAGGAAGGACAGAAAATGCAAGTTACTACTGCGAAATTTTGTGTAAGGTCTTTGCATATTTCTGCTATTCACTCAATATTACTTTCATTGTCTAGGTACCGAAAGTCTTACAACAAAAAGTCAACAACATGGAGTGCATACGAAATGAAAGAAAAGAAAACCTACTCCTACATCCCAGAGATTCAAAAGGCCATCCTTGCTGTGAGGCTGCAAAGTGGTAAAGGCCTTCCCCGTCGAGTAACTATGCACCCTGATGACCCAAGACGTCTGGGTGTACTTGCTCCTGTGCAGCCACCACCCACCGTAGAACTAGTGAGGGCACATGTGTCCCGGGGGGATACTGGTCCAAGAAGACTTGATGATGCGACAGTGTAATGGCGTTTTATCGTGTGCATAATGTAGTACTCAATGTAAATATAATAACAAGGCTTTTTTATAAATGCTTTATTTTCTAAATAAAATGTCACTTGAATTATAACATGTACATTATTATTGAACAAAACATCAAAAACTGTAAAAGTGTAATAATTTAGACAAGGCGTCGCACTTTGAATCCAGTGTACTGTTCCATAGGGTCTGGAAATTTGTCTCTTATTTTCCACACACAGCAGCTGGGAATGACCACTCTGTTGCCCTCACCAAGACGTCCATGTTGCCAGAGGACATACTGTCGATAAGCAGTATGTCTCATACAACGATGTTCTTCACCAGGCTGCGGATTGTCTTCAAGGGCAAAGATATCGTTCCAAGCAGCTGCGGCCAAACGCAAAACTCCCTCATCCAAAACATAATACTGCATGTGCGCCATGTTGCTGATGCACTGTTCTGGGGTTTGTCTGCAGCATTTTTTTTCAATATCTGTGTTCATCTCTCGACAATTTCCGCAGATGCACCAGTTGACAGCAGTTATGGGACGGGTGGGATGTGGATTCTCTAGTAGGGACAGAATGTCAAAAAGCATCCCAGGTGTCCTCTGGACAACCCTCTGCAGAAGGATGTCTCTCTGCTCCAGCCTCAGTGATTTAATTTTTTCCTACAACACATTCATAGGTTGTACTAGTGTGTTATAAGCATACATGTAATATATGTGTATTATGTGAACCATAAGGTAAAAAGATATTTAAAGGCAATATAATACAGTACAGCACCACAATATTAGTAGCACAGTTATACCTGTAACTCAGCCATACGTCGGTTGCAGAGCTTGCAGCCTTCTTTGATCGTCAGAAGTCAGGTCCCTAGGTCGTGTAGTTCTCCTCCCCCCGCGACCTCGACTTCTTGCTCCGGTCTTGGGCCTCGCACCGCCAGCACCCATGGCTTGAACAGTGAATTCATCAGATGATGATGAATTCGAAAGTAATTCCTGTAGTATTGTAAACAGTTACAAAACTAAACATTGGCAGTACACATGATGAGGCTGAGTCGTCTTTGGAGAAAATGTATAGATTTTTTGGAAAGACAAACTGGCACTTGTTTACATTACTTATTTTTTTTAGATCATATTTGATTGTACCCACCTCATCAGACATCTGTTCGTATTGTTCAACGATGTTATCCTTGTATGTCTTGGGAGAGCAAAGGTGCGCATGTAGCTGTGGGGTGGGGTAGGCGGCGGAGGGTGCGGAGTGTTTACGACAGTGACATAACCAAAAGTGACCTTTAGAGGGCGCGCTAAGCGCAAGTTACTTAGTACTGCTTTAAAACACACACAAAAATAACTGATTACACAAGCTGACAGCCAAAAAATGGTCAGGGGTTTCTCAACTGATTTAGACTAATGTTGGTGTTCTGAGTCCGAATATCACATGCATTTTTCTCTATCAGGTCAACTTTTTGAGATACAGCCATAGTGTTACGGATTACGTACGTCTATGTTATTATGAATTCTGCTTATCAAATTTGATGGAGTTAAATAAATCTGAATGACTTTGGATACGTTGACTTTTATTTCTTGAGGAAAACGGAAAAAACGTCAAGGTTTTCTCAGCTATATTTCTCTAGCAAAAAATCCTGACATGATGACATGATTGAGCAAAACCAAGATCATTTTCGGACTCAGAGCATCAAAATTAGTCTAATTCACCTGGAAAACCCTGGACTATATTCAAAAAATATTTTTTTGTTACCCAGTGTTATGATACAATACTTTCCTAGCCTGGCCTTAGTCATTTGTAAACTCAATTTACCCGATTATCATTTCCTCCTTCTACACAGCAGCCGAAGCAAACCAACATGGCCGAGATTAGGCATGCGAAGGAATTGTATAAAAAGTTTAGACACAGATGTCCTTTTTAATGCAATTTGAGGCGAGTTATTGATAGTTCCATGTCCTGATTTGTGGGTTAAGGGTTATATAGGGTTGGTAAAGTTATATTCTAACTTTTCACAAAACTTTGACTCTTAAAACCCACATATCACAACATGGAACCATCAATATCAAAATGCATTCAAAGTGACATTTGTGTCTTTATCCGTTGATATTTAAACTTTTGAAGAATTTCATGGACTTGGTTTGCTTTGGCTGCCGTGAGACTCGCATGCATTACATCATAAACAGGTGAGACAGCGGATTTTGACAAGGCAGTGCAAACCGACGTTACACTGGCCCTGGCTAACACCTGCAGCCCATCTGCTCTCCCCTGAACAGACAGGGGAGGAACACAACAGAAATGATGTCATAATTCGTTCTGTACCTCCGTCTGACAGCTGTAGACTTTAGAGCGTTAGAGCTGTCCCTGATAAAGGTGTTCTGATTGGCTGCTCTCATTGGCAGCTTTCTGTGCTGTGCCACTAGGTGACTCACGCCACCGATTCAAAGGTCTGTATCACTGTGGTAACCATAGCAACTGAGATGTGTGCAGCTCCTCAGACACAACAGACGCTCAATCATTCAATGGGTTAAGTTGATGCACGGCCACTCCACCACTCCCACGAGCTCACTTTCCAGTACAATGCTGAACATATCTTTTCAGGATCTATTTTTTCCTCCTGTACCTGTAGTTATGTAAACTACAGGTTCACAAATGAAATCTGTTTTTTTTTTGTTTTTTTTATTTACAAAGGCTTCACGGAACCCACTCTCACAATCAATATCGCTCAGTCTCGCACATCAAAATTCTCTCCATAAGATCATTACGATCATTGGTCAGCAGCAAGACTCATATTTCAGATGCATCCAGCTAAAGCCTAGAACAGTCTTACTGAAAATGTGAGACAGGTCTCCAATCTGATAATGTTCAAATCCAGGTTAAAAACAGATCTGTCTCGCCGTGCATCCTTCTGAAGGATTGTATCTTCACCTGTTTTGATGTACTTAAGAGACTTTTATGCCTTCTTAAGGCAGATTTAAGTACATTTGCCCTTCACTGATCCTCCTGCAGGTGGTGAGTCCACAGGAGCCTTGATCTTCCAGTGTCTTGCCCAAGGACAGTGGGAGTCTTGAAGTAGGTCTCGTGGTGGGCTCAAACCCACAACCTTCAGGTCCACAGGCCAATGCTCTACCAAATGAGCTGGAACCCCAGAATGACTTACTTTAAAGTAGCAATTTGTAAAATGTTCATGTCAAGTCATCATTAAATGGCCCTAATCTGTCAAAAGTCCTTAAAAAACATGGTCTTTTGGAATACTTTAACTGATAACAGTAGTTCAACTGAGTATTTCAGATTCAAAATTGGATTTGCAGCCCCTAAATCTTGTTATTGTTCTCATTTCAATGTCCCGTTTTAGTAAGTAAGTAAGTAAGTAATGTTTATTTATATACCACCTTTCACAGACCAGAGTCACAAAGCGGTTTACAATGGTTATTTTTTGGGCATCTGTCCTCTCACTCCACAGAGATGGGAGCGGGGTCGCCGAGCAGGAGGCGCATGCCAGACCTATTGTACATATTTTTAGTGGTAGGGGAAACCGGAGTACCAGGAGGAAACCTACGCATACCCTTCACCGTTTTATCAATTAGAAAGTCCAAGATCCGGGTTGCCAGAACTCACCGCTTCGAGCTAATCTCACTGGTAAAGTCAGGCCACAGTACAAAAAAAGCTCTCATTTTGATTCTCCAATCATTATTGACAAAACAAGGGGATGCCAAGGTTTCGGTTATAGGTTTGTTGTTGACAAAACTCTCGTCTATTCAACCATTATGGTCCCAGCTTGATCCGTCTGGATATCAGGGAGAGTGGGAGAGGACTACTTAATATTCACCGTGATTGCAGTACCACTTTTGGACAGATTTGTACATATTGCTCCTTTTATATAATTACTGTAAGTCATGTGCTCCTTTGGGAAATGTTTCTACTTCATTTGACCATCACTCACTGCCTCTTTAGCAATATCGTCCCCTTGTTTCCTTGAGGATAAAAACATTAGCTGCCATATCTGCATTGTTTTTCTCTCATCACATTACAACACATCGCTGTGGTTCACTTCATGCCTGAATCCATCTGTGGAAGTGTCAAGTTCAATGAACGTTCTCCATTGTCTTCGTCTTGAGAATAATGAGTGTCACATCAGTAACTACAGAAAATATCCAGAGCAAGAAGCAATTATCATTTCAAAGGAGACGTAATGTCTGCCATGCAAGAGTACATCGCTGGGTTCAAAGCCCATTATTTATACAGCTGATTTCTTCTATTGATGTTTCACGACCCTGATTGATCTCACACAGAGAACACCCAACGACAGCTTCAGCATCGCCATGTCCACTATGCAAAATACATTACCGATTTGTTGTGTCTGAATACCAGGGGTGCCCAAACTTTTTAGTAAGAGAGCCACTTTAGTTCACCAGACTTGGATTGTCAAACTGTTTTGACTGGAATCGGACTATTCTGGGCTTGAACATGGGGGTATGATATTGTGTTTATCACCCTAAATCACAGCAGCAGTTGATGCTTCCTCAGAAATAGATCAGAGAATCGAAATGTTCGATCACTGGTAACGTAATATAAAACAAATATCATAGGATGCAGGATTACCACTGTCCAGAAATGTCAATGAATGTCCTCAAGCGTCCCGAAACCGCACTGTTCTTAGACCATCCTGTATGAGCAAGGAACCACTCAAAAGTAAAACAGTTCAGAAAAAGCGACCCGAACACGGGGAGGCCCACTTTGTGCTCCACATCTGCTCCAACGGACGGACAGGCTGTAGATCCAGGCCTGAGGCTGTAGATCCAGGCCTGACGCTGTAGATCCTGGTCTGAGGCTGTAGATCCTGGTCTGAGGCTGTAGATCCAGGACTGACGCTGTAGATCCAGTACTGGGGCTGTATATCCAGGACTGAGGCTATAGACCCAAGACTCAGGCTGTAGATCCAGGACTGACGCTGTAGATCCTGGTCTGAGGCTGTAGATCCAGTACTG